GAGTTCAATACCAGGTTAAGCCTTTTCCTGAGCCTGGCTGTCAGAGAGAAAGCCCCTTCCCGCTGGAGGCTGGCCACCCCGCCCACCAACCAGGGTGGGCCCCGCTGTGTGTGTGACGCTGTTGCTGGGAGCCTGGGCCGCCTGGTGTCTGGCTGTGTCAGGATGATGGATCCTCAGATGATCTGAGGAGAGCCCAGAGCAGAAGGGGAGGGTGATTTCTGATACCCTGTGAGAAGAGGCAGCCCAGGCTCCACCCAGAAGCTGGGCATTTGGCTTCCCAGCCCCCACCACACCCTGCCTGGGTGGAGCAACTGTATAAAACCAGAAGTTTCTAAAACCAGAGTGTGGATGAGGAAGGAGAACTAGGACTTTAAACTCCAGCAGTTCCTCTTCCAGGACCCAGGAGTTCAGGCTTGGCCTCTCCTCCCTCAGATCCAGGAGTCCAGGCCCACAGCCCTCTTCCCTCAGACCCAAGAATCTGGACTCTCAGTCTCCTCCTCCCTCAGACCCAGGAGTCTGGACTCCCAGCCTCCTCCTCCCTCAGACCCAGGAGTCTGGACTCCCAACCTCCTCCTCCCTCAGACCCAGGAGTCTGAACTCCCAGCCCTTCCCCCCCGAGACCCAGAAGTCTGAACTCTCAGCTCCTCTTCCATCAGACCCTGGAGTCCAGGCCCCAGCACCTCCTCCCTCAGACCCAGGAATCTGGACTCCCATCCCCTCTTCTTTCAGACCCTGGAGTTCAGGCCTCCAGCCCTCCTTCCTGAGACCCAGAAGTCTGGACTCCCAGCCCCTCCTCCCTCAGACACAGGAGTCCAGGCCCCAGCCTCCTCCCTCAGACCCAGGATTCCAGGCCTCCAACCCTCCTCCCTCAGACCCAGGAGTTTGAACTCCTTGCACATCCTCAGTTAGACCCACACGTGAAGCCTCCCAGAATTTCTTACAGGAAGAGATGACCACGGCTGGAAGTAACTGAGACAAGGACTGAAAGACAGGGACAGAAGCAGTTTGGTCACTCCCACAGGATACAGGGACCGGCAGAGTGACAAGCAAAGATCTCCAGCACTCCTCACTCACAACCCTCTCTCCCAGAGCTCTCCACTTTCTTGGCGGCCGATCTCCAGTCCCTGCCCTGGGTCCACAGTGACCTTCTCAAGACGTCCATTATCATCATCAGAAAACTTCAGGGCGCGACTTACAGAACACTAGGATAGAAGGAGCGAAGGGTGGGGGAGATAAAGAAAAAATGGAGAAAAGGCAGAGGAAAGAACATTTATTCATTTTAGGGACATCTCCTGAGCCCTGGTGGGCAGGTTCCAGGCTGGGCGATGCCAGGCACTCGGAGATGACTCAACCTCAGGCTCTGCCCTTGAGGAGATGTCAATCTGGTGGAGGAGACAGCTGTGTCAACAGAGAACCACACAGTAGTGTGAGGATGCACCAACCCAGTCAGAGAGTCAGAAAGGGCTTCCTGGAGGAGGTATTGCTGAATGATGAGTTAAGCATGTTAAGGGTGGAGGTAGAGGGTGGAACATCAGGGGCAAGGAATATTGTGTCCAATCAGGAAAGGACAGGAAGATTTATGCGGTGGAGGTGTAAAAAGTTTTAATTTTTTTAAGTTAAAAAGTAAAATTTAGGCCAGGCTTGGTGGCTCACGCCTGTAATCTCAGCACTTTGGGAGACCGAGGCGAGAGGATTGCCTGAACCCAGGGGTTTGAGACCAGCCTGGGCAACTCAGTGAGACCTTGTCTCTACAATAAATTTTTTTTTTTTTTTTTGGATTGGAGTCTCACTCCATTATCCAAACTGGATTACAGTGGCACACTCACGGCCACCCTGGAGTTGACCCATTGGGCTCCTGTGATCCTTCTGCCTCAGTCTTCCAAGTAGCCAGAACTACAAATGCGTGCTACCGCGCCTGGCTAATTTTTGATTTTTTATTTTAGAGACAGGTCTCGCCAAGTTGCCCGGGCTGGTCTCAAGCCCACAGGTTCAAGCAATCCACTTACCTCAGCCTCCCAAAGTGCTGGGATTACAAGCTGAGTCACAGAACCAGGCCTACAATAAATTTTTAAAAATCAGGCAGTTGTGGTGGTGCACACCTGTAGTTCCAGCTACTTGGAAGGCTGAGGGGGAAGGATCACCTGAGCCCCGCAGGTTGAGGCTGCGGTGGCCGTGAGTGTGCCACTGTACTCCAGCTTGGATGACAGAGTTAGACTCCAGCTCAAAAAAGAAAAAAAGTATATCTGTGGTGTACAATTGTGTGTGTGTGTGTATGTGTGTGTGTGTGTGTGTGTGTGTGTGTGTGTGTGTGTTGGAGTCTCACTC